TAAGGTTGACGGAAACCCGGGGACTGCGCCTAGCTGATGAACCCCCTCCCCCCAAAAAAATAAAGGGGCGAAACCGGTCGTGGGCTGTCGACGGATTTTCAGCAAACTTATGAGGAGTACATTCCAAAGGTTTTATTCGAAACAAGATGATCTCTAAGCACACCTGTTGGTCACACCTGAGGGGGAGGGGTTGCACAACCTACCTGCAAACAATCTGTATTTCCGGTGTGGGCATTTTATGACGCTAAGCTTTATGGTTAGAGAAAGAATGCTGCCTTCATGGATGTCCTAGGGACACTAGTCGCCTAGCGGATGAGTGTTCGTTATTTTTAGTAATGGCCAATTAGTTTAGGGGAAATTTGAAAGCGACATGGGAAGGAAATATTTGGGGGAAGTTAACAAACCTCAATTGCAAAACACGACTGTAGAAAACAACGCTGTCTCGGGCGCGACTGAATATCGTATGCAGCAGCGTTAAACCAAAGTATCTCAAAATGGGATGTAGTAGAATTGAAGGTACGTAATCAGTTAAAAGTTATGGTCATTTAGTGTACGATCAATGGAACTGGATACCGCATAATAGGTGAAGATGAAGAACGGTGAGCTATGAAACTTCCAGAAGGTATAGAAACAGGAGAACTGAAGAACTCAGGCGTCATCTTGTCAATCAGCCACAGGTGCTACGTTCTCATGGATGACACAAACTTTTGACGTTTCACCATGCTGACACGAGTGAAATTTCTCTCCTCAGTGGGAGTTCATCACACCAACACTTACCGATTCCCAAGACTATATGAATGCTCGCACGCCCACACGCAAAAGGAACACAAGCGATTCACGATTAGACCTCTAAATGTTACCTCAGTCGAAAGATAGACGAGGACACGTGTTACATCCCTACTTGGATAAACCTGTTGCTAAACCATCCGGGTCATCTGGGATTGACTCAATGAGAACGATCAAACGTGGTACAAACACCACTGAAAGTAATTCCCAAATACGCATAGATCTATATTGCGTATGGAATCAAGGTACAGATATACTTTAATTACAAGTAAGAAAATCAAGAATCGTGTACACCCATTGATCTTCAAAAAAGTAAACAAATGAGCACGCCATAAATACTCGTGGGTAGCAGGCGAAATAAACAAAAAAATAATCGAAATATTGCGAAAACAATGTTGAAGCAAGCCATGACAAGAGCAACGCGAAACGCCTCTGAATAGGTGCGAATGGGTTCAAGGCACAGCCGGTAAATCGAATCAGTTAGGCTGAAGAGGCTGGGAGTTCGGATCGACGAGATAATTACTATCCGATTACGTGAGGGGAAAAAACATGATAGCGAGAAATCAGAACTTCCACCTTCAAACAGACGGAAATGAGATAGACAGACAGATAATGGATGGAGACCGATTAGATATTGCCGCAATCAAGATGACTAGGACGAGTTTTCCTCTAATACGCGTCTCTCAGCCGACTGGCGTAGTTCCTCTATTGTCTTCCGCGACAGATTCCCGGGTAGGGTGAACATTGCCTTCGTAGGATAAACAAAGGTACGGAAAGATGAATAAGTGCACTGATTGTTGATATAATTGTAGGATGCAAAACAATTTGACCAATAACTACAACCCCGTACAGAGAAGGATGGCCAACATTGAGTTGAGCGAAATATCATGCCTATCAGTTGTTACGCAACGTTGGAGAGAAACAGTCGACGAAAGGATGGACTGTATAGCTTGTTCATCGATAAAGACGCCTCAAGTCTTACCAGAGACCACGGCCAAAAAAAGTAAACACCCGAGCTCAACGGATGCCACCTAATTCCTGAGCGATTCAGTAATTGAGAGGCTGCTGGGACACGCTTTATACGCACTTCGCACGTTTCGAAACAGAATAGGGATTCTGTTTGTTGGCCATGGATGTTTTTGGTGGAGCACAAGGAAAAGACCAGAGTTGGTCTTAGTTCGACCGATAAAAATTGACGTGAGGTTATTGACATAGATATCGCGTCGTAGAGTATAGAAAGACAAATGTCACTGGAAAGGTGATGACACTCTGAAGTATGCTTTGCTATTTTATCAACATGAACAAATCGCCGGTGATGATCAGGATAAGGATGGAACGGGAAGCAGAAGGATGATATATGCTATGACGAGAGATGAAGTGCCGAAAACGCAGTTCGGATAGAGTATCCGGATGTTTGGAAGCATAACGCTAAAATAAACTATCAACTTGTAAGAAAACACAAATAACAAGGCTTAGGTCCACCAAAGCTGATGAAAACACTTGAGAAGACAGAAAACACAGTTGGAGACACATCGTAAGAGAAACAAAAATACAGGAGAACCACACACAGACATATCGAGGCATTGAAAGGACGTGAGGAACGACTAAATCACCTACAACAGTCAGTCATGTTTGGACAGATGAGGGTAAACCCAAATAGTGAGCAACTAAATACCTCAGGAAACTGGGATAACAGTGTTCCAGAGTCGTGTGAGAGAAGAGTTTCGGACAACGAGTGGTGGTTTGATGTGGTAAGGCGAGTTGTACGAGCGAATGACTTTGGGTGTGGAACAGAAGATGAGAGGTCAAAAGAACTCTTGTCATTCACATGTATCGCGACATCTCGAATATCGTAGCAACTGAAACCTGAGGCGGCCTGGTGCAGCACATTCAGTTGCCTGAAAACATCACAAAAGAGAGATTCAGCTGAGTTCCAGGTGAGTCTCTCGAAAAACCAAATTAGTTTGCAAATGAGTGTATATTCGCGAATTTCGTGCAATTTGTTTTCAAGTAGAACATAAGGTTGACGGAAAACCGGGGACTGCGCCTACCTGATGAGCTCCAAAAAGGGCGAAACCGGTCATGACGCAGTGGCGGGCTGTCGACGGATTTTCAGCAACCTTATGAGTAGTACATCACAAAAACTCTTGTCATAGTTGTAGAGACAGTACAAAGAAAAGGAGGCTGTGTTCCGAAGGTGGGATTGGGATTAGGGGTTGTTAGTCAGACTAAGGAGAGTAATAAGACAGCCTCCCGTTGGACTGTATACAGAGGTGAAAGGCATGTTAAATAAATTCAATCCCAGACATGACAACAATGCTCAATCGTAATGCGAATCTCAGATTTGTCAGTTAGGAGCAACTAGGAGCGCAAACGATTTCCAGGGACGGAACAGAAATCTGACTTATCTGGAGATTCCATTAAAAGTTTTTCTAAGGAATGATCAGAGATCACAGATGGGGCATTGGAAGGACAGGAAGACATAGGATTTGGAGTGGTTGGTGTTGTGCAGAATTTTATGTGCAACCCGTCCTGCACGTGACGGTAAAGCGCTGCAACGACCAATGAGCAAGTGATTGGTGAGGAAATCGGGAGGGAGTTCGTTCAGTGTCCAGGCGAGTATGGATTGGTTAGAAATATTGATCCAAGAGCTAATCGCGTTCGTGTTCGGGGAACGCCGGTGGCCACTGCCGCCTATAAAAGATGTCCGGATTCCTAGGAACTTAGCGCCGTATACGAATTTCCGACTGTTTTGGGTGTTCAACGGACTCACTGTTGATGGCTGTTTTGCTAAAACGCCAGCTGGAGAGGATCAAACCGCGGAATGAACCAGGATAGCCGTCACTTCAGTTGGTTTGCTACATCTAATTGTGAATGATAAGATCACCGCTCAGTGCGCTGATGGTGTTTGTTTAGTCATCACCCAACCGAGAAAGAGCAGGTCGCTGTGAGAGGTAAGAGGTTGATTTGTGGAGGGTGGCACTGTCTACAAGTGCTTGAGTGTAAACAAAGACGGATGAAATTAGTGCACCTATGAACAGAAAAACGGAGTACGGAACGTAACCCTGAGGGAGACCGACGTTAAATGCTGAGTCTGGAAAACATCGGCGTCGGACTGAACATGTGGAGATCACTTCATCAAGTTACCGCACAAGTGAGCAAAACAGGGCACAGGCCGTCGAAAGCTCTTGAAGCGTGTAGGGAAATCCGATAGGTTTCGCCAATCTACAGAAACTTATGAGAAGTGAGAAACGCGTGCAACTAGGTCGTCGATAAAGCAGTGGCGCCCTGAAGAGCACTGCACTTCAGATGACACATGTGTTTGACTAGGATGGACTGTTGAACCTTACGGTGGTTGGAATGAGGCAATGGTTGTCCAGGTCAGAAGGGAATACAATTTCGGGAATATGTTCCAAGAGAACACATCACTATGGAATGAGGATAAGCAGGACGGAAGAATAATCCAAGGGGCACAAAAATGGCGCGGAATGGGTGGGATACGATTTGGAGGTTAGACTGCTTAAAGGATGTACCTCGGACATCCGAACCATTACTTCGCAGAATCATCTTACCACCAACTACATGCAGGGTGGCAACAAACCAGAACTAGTCAGTTCATGACCTGGTAATTAGTTACAAAACGCAACTTCCTGGGTGCGTTATTTGCGATACACGATTGGGAGTAAGCGGACTTTTGAATGTCAGAGCAAAAGTATTGATGCATATTTCGTTTCAAATAAGACAAACCCCCATGGGTGATACACTCGGTTAGGTTAACTGAGAGAATCTCCATCTGTTTATGAATACTTGAAGGGATGACCGTTGTGGCATTCTAGTCGTTCGCTGACTGTCCTTGATGGAGGGCTGTTTACCCGAAATGACGTAAGAAACTAATTCGTGCTGACACTGGCCGCTTTGCCTGCATAGCTCCGTCGAGATTCCAACACAACCAGCTGCGGAATAAACAGTAGACAGAGTACTTCCAACATGAAGACTGCCAAGATGGCTAAACCACGAGAACGATTTTGATTAAGATATCTCCAGAGTATGTGTGCCTCGGACCTCAAGATATGGTATAAAGGGAAAGCCGGGTGGCGGGGACAACACGAATTTCCAAATTATATGAGGATAAAGAGATACAAACAGCAAAACTGACTCGTCCTATAGCAGATGGAGTACTTTCTGAACTCGGACTTGCAACTCTGTCACCATTGTTTTCATTCAAACGTACACTACCGGCACCAGGTTCCAAAGCCTATTGCCGTACCCATGGGTTGATGTTGGTTCACCATTCAACCATAACAGAAGGCTCTTCGAAACACCACCTGACCAATGGCTTACGACAAGCCGCGTGGTTCGTGATGCATGTCAGTTGCGACGGAGCCTGAAGACCTCGGGGCGGGTAGCTATGACGAAGGGATACATGACAACTTGATACTGACCGGGTTTCTAATATACATAAAATTAACGGAAGCTCCGCGGCGGTCCACCTGATGGGCCCGAAGAAAAGCGAAACCGGTCGTGGGTCGCCGAAGAATTGTCGGTAACCCTATAGGCAGTGTGCTCCACCAAGAAAATGTGTATTTTTGTTGTCATAGCAGAGTACTTCCTTTGTGGTTCCAATTTGAGTCTCACTATGTTTTAGCGATCCAGATAACAGAAGTTGATTTGCAACACACAAACTTACTGTGTGGATATACAAGTACGATGGAGCTACAGACGTGCAAAACATCAAACATGCGACGTCTATTCAGATCAAAGTGAACGTTCCCATCACACACAGACAGAAGTCGGTGAAAGTAGGTTGGTGTTGTGGTAAACAGAAGCATTTCTATCGGCGAGACATTGTTTGACGCTTAAACAGTATTTCAACCTGGAAGGTCCACTGCGGTAAGAATGTCCCTCGGAATTACTTATCTAATTACTTCAGACTGTACTATATGGTAGCGTTGATAGTAGGACTTCCCCGCTGAGAGTGTGACTGTTATATCAGTTACTTAACCATTCTATGAACACCAAGACAAACCAAACAAAAACCTAAAACCAGGCAACAGTTGAACCCCCAGTTTTTGAGGGGGTGACACCAATAGCAAAGCACAGAAGTTCAGCAACAGTTGAGTGCAAAAGCGGTCACCAAGCACAGATTAGGTCAGCTGTCGCATTTGTAGAAGTAACCAATAAAACACTGACCTGGAGAAACTCATGACACCATAGCGTTTGTTTGTCCTGACACATGCTACGGAAGGTGGTAAGCAGTGCAGGAAATTCATCACACTGCAGCAGATGATTACGATGCAGTCGGATAAGCGCAAAACCGGCTCGAAACAGAATTTTGTCACCTTCGTAGAACAGGCAATCGAATATTCGCATGGTTGTCTAAAACAAGGGATACGGGGATTGAAGTGAATGATATGGCTTGATGCTTACGTGAAATTTCACACTGCAGGTGGAACAGAAGATAGAGAAGCATTGAATATCTGGATCATTCTAGGTGTAGTACGCATCTGACGAATGTGTAGATACATAAGAATCAGAAACTGCCCATTTTTAGTTTAATACTACACCACTCTACTACACCCTGCCTTACACTTACAGAAGATATAGAGGTTCATAAAAGATTTTTCGGCACTGACTGGCTTTATCTGCCGAGCGAAATCCTAAGTAGAACTTCAGGATCTACAAGTATAAAATTGATGTTAGCAGACGGCATGCTCGGTGCACACAAAATTGATGGAACGGGAGGAAATGGCTACAGTGAGTTTAATTCGCGAATTAGATGGCGAAGTCATCTCACAGTAAGAAGTCAAGCTGTGCCGTAACTATGAGTGACCAACGTTGGGAGTCACCAGGAGCCAGTACATGCAGTGACTTATAATTAGCTGCAACCATCAAACCTTAAGTGACATCGAACACAGTTACCGTCAGTGAATAGATCTTTCAAATCAAAGCTGTGTTTGCCAACAAAGCTGGAAGCGTACAAGATATAGGAGAACGGAGAGTTAGGATGATCACGGTAGCCTTCCTGCTAGTAGATCCGTGGCTTAACCACTGAACTACCTCGAACACCACAAGCCAAATGAGCAAGTCAACTGGGAGGTAGGAATATCATAAAGTTACTTGTTATTTATTTAGGTGTTCCATTGCTGTAAACTGAGCGGATTGCTCTGTCACCAACGGGTTACGATGGCTCTTGGAACGTTAGTCTGCGATTTACGGTCACCCACCAATGTTACGAATTAAACGTGGCTCAGGAATTAAGGCACGACATATTGACCAGGGAACTCGAATGTTAGCTTACTCCTAGTTTGAGTCAAACAACCATTGTATTCATTCGGGTCGCATGACAGTACAGCTGAGTGAATTTTTTTATTTACCCGTTTGGCTGGCATCTATAATCCGCATAGCTTTCAGAAAAATGAACCAGAATCAACAAAGCCTACCGTCTAAATCGTTCAGTATAGTATAGAATAGAGAAGGGCGAGATGACTCAGTGGTTAGAGCGTCTGTTTACTGATCGGAAGTTCCTTGTTTCGAACTCGACCTCCGCATCTCGACTTCTTCTGTCTAGGCTTGGGCAACCCGGAAGTATCCAAGCCCTCGAGCTTCCTTCAGGTGGCACGGCAGCAAGTCACCGAAAGGGCGTTGCAGTTGAACGACAATTCATTTATTTGTAAGTTTAGAATAGTGGCAGAGTTACAGTTGAAAATTTTGAGAGTGGATGCTACGTTCCAATCCTTAGTATACATGGAGGGTACCATTCATACTTTGCTCCCCTCCAATCAAGACCTTTTGTTGTTAATTTTTAAAATGCCTGACGAGAATTGTTGAAACTGTTGATGTCACCCAAATTCGCCACACATCCGCCCAGAAAAGCTGAGTAACTGGAGGGATGAGCTTGGAGGATTGCTACAGATTTTGGGTTGGCATAGTGTGCGGTAGACTGTCCATCGATACTAAACACGCATATGCCTACCAAATAGTGTGACCAATCAGACCACGGTGCGAACGGACACTTACATAGGAAGAAATGGTCATATAGCATGAACAGGACTGAAGTTTACACATTGTAGTGTTATGCAAGGAAGGATATCATCACTGATGGTTGCATTCACACCATAGTTAACAAATGTTGTTTTACCGCTAGTGAGTATCATGTTAAGAATAGCACAACCGTTGAGCAAAGGTGAATGTACACGGACTACACCTCTGGTGACAACCAGCTTGTTTAAGACTGGTTGAATACCTTGAGCAAATTTAAAAACTATGTGAAAATACACACAGAACCGACGGAATTCGATGACAAGAGTGCTTACTTCAATGGGAAGGACGTCGGCATACAGACAAATAAACCACTTGGCACACAAGGTGGTATAATTGACACCTGAGTTCACCACAATGGAGTTCAAGGCAGGATCCCTCAACCTGCATGAGGTAAAGAGGCATAGACAGAAATTAGGTTAGCGCTGGAATCCATAAATGACAGCAAAAGCCTACTCATTTTGACACCATCAGGTTCAATTTCAACCATCGATAGTTCCGTCCCGTTGTGGTTTTCGACAAGATGGCATGCTTTGTCAAATCATACATACGGATCAAGCAACCCGTGATTCCCTGTCGTGTGAACAAGTCAAATAATTCGAAATGCAAAAATAGAACGGAACCTCCAAAGGTTCACATGTACTATTTTCTCCACCGTTCACTACCCAACCTTACCCGTTCCTTCAGTGCCCACCTTAGCGAAAAACAAGCTGCGTACTGTAACAGGGATGAAATACCTAGTTGAGATCGTGCAGTTAATCGAGACGTCATTACTGACAAAAGACTGTTTAAAGGTTCCAAAAATCGACTGATTCATTAACACATCAAAAGGAGCAACTGACACCACAACAGTCCCAAAATTGAAAAATGAGAATACACCCATCTGAACACCAATTTGGTTTTTATGGGAGACTCAACTGAACCCCAGTTGAATCTCTCTTTTGTGATATTCTGAAACTGCATGCGCTGTACACAGGCCGCCTCATGTTTAACTCGGCACAACATTCGAGGAATCGAAGTGTAATATCGAACTTCTACAATTGACGTCCAAGTAGAACATAGGGCTGAAGGAAACTCAAGACTGTGCCTACGTAATGAACTCCAAGAATGGAGAAACGGGTCGTGGGCTGTGAAACGGTTTTCAGCAGTTTCATTCAAGAAAATATACTTTGGTATCCTGAATATTCTGCCAACATGGGGCAGTCCTTATGCAGCACATTCAGCTGAAAAATACCGTAAATGAGAGATTCAGTTGGATCTTCCGGAAAAAAGGAAACAGATGTGTAGATAAGCGTATTGCGCGAAAGACATTCTTTGCCTTTAAGACGTAGTCAGGCTAAACGGGGAGTTGAAAGGTTTAAACCCCTGTACTGACACATCGTAGTGTGTCGAACAAAGTATAATGTAGGTTTTTGCAGAGATAGTTACATCAGCGCTCTTGCATGATTGTTGCAGTGTACGCTCTTCAACGTTCCCACACAGAAAACATGATGTCACAGTGATGATGTTTGTAGATGGCTGATGCTGTCGGTTTCTTCCTAGATTGATTGAACGCTTGTGGGCACTTCAGAATGCTCGCGATAGGCCAGTACTGGGTCGCCTCTCTCACTCACTTTTTTTAATTTCTTTCCACTGTAAAGCTTTAAAGAGAATTAAGTTAACTTCGTAATTGTACGGCAGTGAAGCATCAGTGTCAACACCAATGTTACTGTCTCTGATGACAATGCACTGGAACTTTAGGAAACGCGGCTCATGAAACTTGCTTATTTATTTTCACTCCCAGGATTGTAGTACACCGTTTGCCGATAATATATTTTCTCATGACGCTTGGAATAAAAAAATTGTCAACAGTTGAAACAAAACTTTCGCTAGTGCCGACCTGAAAATTTGGCAACAATCATCACCACACCTAGCCCAGAAAACTGGTGCCTCACGTATAACCACATCAATTTGATGGAATAAAACCTTATAATAGGAGGAAAAAAGTGAGACAGCGAGATGGACCTAGGATTATCCCATCACAAACATCCGAGACGCCTGCAGCTTTAAAAATCAGTAAGACCATCTGGATAGAAACCGATGTCACCAACACCACTGACACCAGCATCCCCAACCAAGCGCAGGCATGTGATCCTCATCCTGGAAGTTGAAAAGCACAAACTGCACCGGAACGTCTCGTGGCATCCTCATTTACCTTCTGATATGTTATATTCTGTCCATCTTTTAATTTTAGAAACAAGTCACCACACGTCTTCCAATTCCAAGGCTGGAGCACCTCTACACATTCACCAAACCTGGTAGGAGAGGCACCATGGGTACCACGCCTATACGACCCAGTATAGTTGCACGAAACACCACACAGCGATAAAATCCGGGCTCTTCGTGGCAACAAAGTCGGATGATACGCCATGAGACGTAGCACACCGACTTTTCACGAATCCAGATAATTTAAAGTGCACAGCCCAAGAATTCGTGAACAAAACCACCCGAAATAAGCATTTTGAATCTACGGTCCTTGAACCAGGTGCAACATTGGGTTAAGGGCATGTGTTTAGGTGTTTTCAAAGATCAGAACCTAAGTACAACAATAGGACAACAATAGTACAACAATAGGCACTACTTAGAAGAACCTAAGACAACAATAGGGCAACAAAAAGAAAAAAATAGGCACTACTTAGAATTGAGCATAAAGTTGTGTTACGCACTCCGATCCATTCCCAAAATGATCCGGAAACGCAAGCACCAGGCAAAATAGCGAATAAAAAATACTAAATTCGTACCAATTCCGCCACCACAAATTCCACCTGACATTAGGTGGTAAAATTACTGAAAAATCAGGTCTGAAGGTGAATGGATCCGAGAAGAGTGGAGCGAATGGGAAAATCCCGATTTTTAAAGGCACCATAGAATACATAAACGAGACGAACCAATAAATAATGAAAAACACAGGTACAACTCGTCGTCTCACAATCGCATAACAGAAGACACATGTACCATTCTCAACGGTTCATGTTCTAGGTGACTCTACTTTCGAAAAGGTCGTGTGTATTCGGTCAACGACTCCATAAGTAGTGAACAAAGCACACAGTAGCTAGGGGTAGACAGAACCGGAAGGATCGTGAGTACACTAAACGAGATTAACGCTGTCAACGAGAACGGCATAGACTCTATGTGTCTAACACAATTAACAGCAGTGCTCATAGGCCTTGACCCCACGGAGATTAGGGTGAGCATTTGTGCGGATACTTGGTCATGTGATCACAACGTAATCATGTGATGCGACGAGGGGAACTTGAGGGGCATAGCACCCTAGCGGGTTATGTGTCCTCAAACCAAGCTAGGCCACGAACAGGTAAAACAGTCGACACGTTTTATCCATTTCATTAGTTCATATGGAAGACTTGAACATGACGTTAACAATTATTTCATTGTCTTCAGCCATGCAATGCAGAATTTACACAAGAATGTGTCAGCAACAGGGCGGAGCGGAGGGACAACGTCACATGATGGCAACCGTTTCGATAACTCTTGTGCCCGCAATGCTGTCGGAAGACTACACTGATAGAAAGTAGCTTTTGGGCGTCGAATAGCTAACCAAAAAGAAACGAATCTCGTTGGATGTACCTGGTGAAGTATTTTCAGTCGCCTAGATACTTATGTCAGTTTTTTTTCACTCAGCAATGCTATCACTGTAAGTGTGCTTCCTGATGTGTGTTCAGTCGGCGTGTTTCTGCAACAAGAGAACTCAACGGACTGCTAGGCGGTAGACAAATCTAATGAGCTACAATCGCAATGGAAGATGGCTCTGAATCAAGTTCAATTTATCAGCATTATAAACTCGTCTCAGAGTGGAATCCAATCCATTTCATCAGATAATAGAATTCCTTCCTCTTTAACTTGGCTGAAAATTAGTCTAGACGTATAAGAGCCACATATAAGGTACGAAACCCGAAAAATGCAAATATTGATCACTCCATCATGAATAAGGCTGGGACACTGAAGCACGCCTACTTACCAGAAAGTCTGAAAATAAGCTTGAATAAGATTTCTAAACTGAGGAACCGGATGCGTCATTTCGACATTGTTCACGGGGCAATACCAATGCTTATTGGTGCTGCACGAATGGATGGCGCGCAGTGTCCCGACATCAGCACTGATGTTATTTTCTGTGGTGATGATGAGAGCTTTAGTCACCCAACTGTCGTACCGCCACCACCCTTCCTTCTTTCACTTCCAGGAAGAGACCAACCGGCGTCTAGAGTAAAGGCCTGTTGAAGTGAAGTTTGGAAAGTAGACGTGCAATCTCCTGGATGTTGTTATTTTGACCCATATTCCGCAAGGCATCCACTTAGTACTCTCCGCGTTGGTTGGACAGAGAGAAAAACGGCTAAAAATTCATGGTTTTGCCATAAGTTTCCATTTTGCGCATGTACTCTAACGATTAATCATCGTCAACACCCTTAATAAAGTGCATCAGGTTTCTGCAACTTTCCCTCTTGCTCTTTTTCCCTTTAATAGCATTGCATTCAGATTACCGTAGCTAAACGGCGATGAGGCGTCGTTGGTTAGCAACAATGTCACCAAGTGCGTTGGCGAACAATGAGCTGCCCAGATTGCGCATAAATCCTAACTACGTCCTGTACACCCGAGTTCCAGGTAAGTAGCTCTCAATTTAAGTGGTCATGTTGAGTTAGGTGGCACTTTTCTCATGTCCAAAGAACGGTTACTTTCATATAATTTGAAACATATTGAAGAAACAAAGTATATCCACACTGCAGGTTCATTCGAGGCACCGAATTCCGCAGATATTCGTGTTTCACAGTAATAAGCAGTCACCAGCTACCAAGAGAATTTCTGTTCTTGAGGAGATGTAGTTAGAGGCTGAGCACAAATATAATTTCCGTTTAGCTTTCTGGCCTCAGACGATGCAATGAACCGATCAATTCAAACACATCATTGCCGAGAACCAGTTTCACAGTTTAAAAAATCAAAAACGTAAGAAGTTCTGCTAATGATTGAACTGAGCAGCATAGGGAGCTTTAACCACTAGTTGCATTTTTCCCATCATTTTCGTCACGCATATAATTTCTTCGTGGTATATTGACTATAATTGTCCGCTAATTCACATGTACTCTGTCAGTTCACTCGCAGTTTGGCCTCAGTCGTTCGATAGTTATAGAACTATCTTATTGATAGTCACTTGTGTGCTAAGACATTCCACCTGACGAGCATGTCACAGAGGTTGACGTGCTACACTGCTGCACAGACAACAGAGAGATGGTCAAATGATTTCGGAAGGAAATTTCAGTTCATTACAATCTAGGTTTTTTTCCATCCAGTATTTGTTCCACTGACGTTTATTCATCAGATCAAACTCGTACGGGTCACAGGTGTATTACAGACTCCGAGAACGATGACAGGATATGTAAATACTACTCAGTCAAGGTGTGCCATCCGGAATGGAGAGCAATGAATCCCGTGCAAAACTGTCATTGGCTGACCAACACAATCGAACACGCAATCCAACTGATAGACATGAACTGGCAACAGTATGGACTTGGTACGCTTGACTGAGCACTTGTGCCGGAACCCTATCCATACAACTGAGCAGGTAATTAACTTGAGCGACTCAGTTCGAGCGGTTGTTGGTGCGGTTACAAGCGTCAATAAGTCGCTCCAACATAGCATAAACTATCCCATTTCCAGTTGGTAGTCTTCAGTGGTGTGAACAATAGTTGAGCTAACGCATTATAGTGCAGGTAAACTCATTCAATAATGAGGATAAAACGCTGGGAAGGAAAACGTGAACACGATGGCGCATGCACCTAACACTAGTAGATGATGATATATACAACATGATATATAACATATTTCAGTAAACTTGAACCCACAACACAATAAGAAGGAAACGGACACAAAAATTCGACTGAAAGAAATATGTAAAAACTTACTCCTTGGGAATACACTCACTTGATAAGATCTCCAAGCACCATACAGTCCCGTCGAACTGATACCATATCATCGGAATAATAAGGAGGTAGTAGGTGATTGATTAAGGCGTCCAAAAGCCAAAATGCGCGTTCTTCATTGGCTTCAGGAGAACCTCGTAGAACCAGGAGGAGCATCGCGGTGATGTAATTGAATCCCTGTAAATGAACGATCAAAATAGGCGGACGAAAGAACTACATACGTCAAGCGGTTAGAAATATTTGCAACCCTAGCTGTGGTCAATAAACCTTGAATATTCGGTAACCCCTGGTGCGCAAACTTGAGCAGGGGAATGGACGGGGTAGGAAAGACATGTTACCTGGCAATAGCCAACTTTTGGAAATTGAGCAGCAAACGCTACGAGCACTCGTTTAAGGGATGGAAGTTTGCTCTCTGGATCGGTGAAATTCTTGAAAAACACGTTTTCCGGGAATGTTCTGGGGAGATCTGTAAGGAATACAAGTAAACGCGGAGTGTGAACCAGTGCATACCACGAGCCAGTTAATAAGTACCTGAAAAATAATCAAGACAGAGTAATGGTGATCGGAGGCAATACACCACGCGTTTAGCTTCGACTAGGACCCATCAAGCGACTCTAGCAGGATTCAGGCGTCTGAAGTTCGGGTCCAAAGTTTACACCCCAACCCACAACACAAACAGTCGCCAGCTTCATTTATGCGCACAGTGTACGTAGATGCAAGTGAATTTTCACCTTGTTTTGGCATATACTTCGGAATCTGATTACTAGTGAACAACTAGATACGTATTCTTACTTCGTAAAACCCCAGGCAACAATTTGTCAATTACGGGGTCTTCTGTAGGGATCGTGAAACTTTGGAAACGACTACCTGACTTCTCACCAATAGTCAGATTCGTAGAAAAATTTGTCACGTGTGTAAAACCACACAAACCATGTGTTTTTAAGCGAGGCAGTATGACCGAAACAGCCATTCTCATGTAACAAGCCGAAATGCATACTGCATCTACACGCGCGTCTAGAGCGAAATTAACCTACATAGGGCATCCAAGAAGAATTGAAACCCCAGCGTTCCAAATACTGTTCGGCAGGAGTATTTTGAAAGTAGTGTCACGAACCAGAAAATTGCAACACTCCAATTTAATGGTAAGTGCATCTGTATCACAGACAATAAAATACCGTTTCGCTGGTATCGCGATCTGTCTGCATCCAAGTTAGCCTTCCTCATCGGATTTTGCAGCACTAATCAGTAACAATACAAATACTGGATGTATAGTAGAATCCTGCCACAACAAACTTGGTGGGAAAAATTTGCCTCTTCATACAGCACCCGTAATCCTTGACGGTTTCAACAGGTTGTCGAAGGTTATAAGGGGCAGTTGCAATGATTTTTGGGAACATCCTGAACATCTCTTTTGATTTCATTTTCGGCCAAAGGTTTTTGCACGCCCGTACACTCAGTTTGGCCCGGCTTACGGGTATCTTTCAAATTGAGCTATATTCACATCCCACAAGCATTCTTTTCTGTAGTGAAGCACAGGCACATCTCAAGATCAAAGATATTTGGTTTCATCACAGTGAGCGCAATCTGACAATCAGACAGCCATGCTTGCAGGTGATCCAAGGTACCCGGTACTGGTTCAGCTGGTCAGTTTCTGTGCTTGACCTAGATTCTAGTTGTTTATGGACAGCATACAACTTAATGCTGGTGGGGCGAAATCTTTCGGGTGGTGCACAAATACAAGAATCCATCACGACCTGTGTTAGGCCTAATCCAATGAAGTCCATGCAATGGCATGCTCATATCACCGGTGGTAACAAATACCAGATATTTTTGCGAATGCAACATTGATTGCAAATGCCAGATATTTTTGCGAATGCAACATTGATTATGAATCCTCTGAACTTTCTTGGCCTGCGTCCGTGCAAATCCTTCAATCTATCCCCACTCTTGTGTCTATCTGAGGGTCCTGTCATCATATCCAATGGATAAACTGCGCTCACGCTTCCGAAAAAAAGGTTCAGCTGCTGTTCTACCGTAGAAAAATCTTTTCTTTGTCCCAACTACTTGCGCTATAAAATTCTTGTATTTACCCGACCATAGAATGCTCAGCACTTTTGTAATGAGGCTGTTACCTCTGATCTTGGAATATCTGATAAAGGTAGGTTCCCCATGAATAACCTACCGACTTTAAACCAGAATATCTGGAATGAATAAAGAGTACGGACAGAGGATAGCGCTACTGCACGACCGTTCAGCAAGTCACAACAAGCACCTCGACGGAGATTCCTGTATTCAAAAAGAGTGCAAGACCTGTGCGCGAAAATCAACGGGGTAACACTCAGGTAGCTATGGCCTCCAAGGTGCTCTGAGTAGCCTAGTCCATCACCGGAAGAGTAAAAGTACGCGAATAAGACTGGGTTCCGCTCTGACCGATGTTGTATGGATCATATTCTTGTTCTGCGACTAGTGTTAGAACTGCTCCACTCCTTCTGACGACCAACAGTGATCGTTTCTCTCGATCTTATGACTCCGGCGATCCTCAGAAACTGTGACAGTGTGCGACGATGAATGGTGTCCTTTATTATATTATATATATATGCAGCTTTCTGTGGGTGTGTGCATTTACGGTTGTTTGTACGGATGCGAAGCGTCAGTGTTTAATGGTGATGTTGTGCTATCTATGAAGACGTTTTTATGAAAAATTCCGTCCTGAATCGGACAAAGGTATCCTCTGATGCACTTCCCCTTTAAATCTGTAATCGATGTGCTGTTAGAGTCTTCCTTGCCTGCCTCTAACACCTCGAGGATAGAAATACTACCGGGGCGTTGATTCACATACAATAAGTAGGCCAATGACACATCTTTTTGGATCAGATCCTTTAGAAATGCAAGCTACCTTAAATAACCTAAATAATTTTGCTGCATAGTTCCGTATGCGCTTCGCACCTGTAAAGTGCAAAGTACTGTTGAAATAATGGGTCGGGCAAACACAAACTTCATGCCTGCAGGGGAACCGATCAATATAGTAGATAAGTTCGTTTACTTGGTCAACTGCATAAGTACCGGCGGACTGGCGAAAGACAAAACCCCTTTTTGAATTGAGAAGACCAGGGTGGCGATTGCCAACCCAAACATTGATTTGACCGTCGAAATTGGGGGTACAGTGCCGTGATTCGACCTGCCCTACTTTACGGATCGGAGACAGGCCATTACATGTAGAAGACCTTCAAAGGCTCTCCATGTTTGACCACCGGTGCCTTCGATGCGCTGCCCAGGTGTGGTTTGAACATCAGATCAGTAATACTGAGGTACGCCATATGGTTTTGGGAAAGGCCAGTCTCCCTCGGTAGATCAGCTGATCACACTCCATAGATTACGCTGATTGGGTCACGTACTTTTTATGCCACAGAACTGTTTGCTTCTTTGTCCAGACTTGTGTCGGACAAAGACGACTCAGAGGCAGTCGATCCGTGACTTTGCAACGAAGCATGAAAGTTCTTAGTTACCTTAGTAACTGCCCCCTTCCCTGATGGGGAGCCCGGGAAAAGACAAACCAGTGGTTAATGACCTTGAGAGATATTGCTGCACAACACAGCCAATGGTGGTCTCGCATCAAAGATATCGCACTCACTGTGTAGCTCTCTCCCTGGCATACTGGACAAAGAGAACATTGAGCGCCAATTAATTGGTTCAGCCATCACCTCCAATGCACGGCTCTCACTTCCCTATTCTGCCTATCCTCGGTGGACTATGCTGTAGTAGCTTGAACAACTGCATTTCGGTAGACGGTTTTTAGTTGAAAAACTGAAGTGGACTCCTTTGTCCAGAATTATTCATATGTTCTCCCAGAACCGCTTGAAGTTGGAACAATTCCTCTATTTTCCCCAGCTCCCCATAGTATTTATTGTTCTAATACCGAGTAAAAGCCTGTCTGATCAATCTTTGTAGCTCTCTACTCGTTACCTAAGTGTTCAAGGCATTACTTGTGAATTTTTGCCATTGGTACGGCCCCTGCACAAGATTTTCGAATATAGGTTCTACTTTCCCCGCGAACAACAAAAACACTAAAACGAAGCATAAACGGTATACTAAGGTAAATTTTCCACATCAAAGACAGCAGAAAAAGAAACAGCAACGAGCCATGTAATTCTTACCTGCTAGGATAACGCTCATGATTTTTTTGTCTGGTTCTTTCGAAAGGGCTTCGAGGTATAAACCAGGGCTAGCCTCCATACGGGATTTTGCACCAGATACCATCATCCATATCTGGAACAAGTTTAACATTTGAAAAAAAACTACCTCTGGACGGCTGGCCGGTGGAATGCCTTTACGACAAAACCTTTTCACTGGCAAGTTCAAAGTGAAAGTGGACAAACATACACTTTCGACCTCGAGCTATTACTACCTCTGACGGCTGGCCGGTGGAATGCCTTTACGACAAAACCTTTTCACTGGCAAGTTCAAAGTGAAAGTGGACAAACATACACTTTCGACCTCGAGCTATTGACTTTCTTGAGAATTGTTCTGCCCATCTCGATCGGCGGTGATTCAGGGTGTCCGTATAGCCGTTCTTAAAATCAATATAATCGGTAGGGTTAACATAGACTGGCGCTTCAAAGCCATATTCGGGCAGTTCGCTATCAGAAGCTGTTAGAACCGCAAAGTGCACCTCACGATGGACGTTCATAAAGCGGCATCTGGTGGAAAGATGTTCTTCACAAGTTCAACCCACAGGAAGCTGTAATTCAAGATAAGATTGAGAATATGTAAATTGGCTTTAGAAACCAAAAGAAAATAACATACGAAGAGGATGCCAAATATGATGTAACTCGCTTCAGCAGTTCGAGATTCAATGTCGTCTTTTTCATCGACCAGATGCCTCATGCTTAATCATTAAATCAGCGGAGAATCCCTGGTGACCCACCTAACAAAGCTCACTGGGGAGGTATATAGTTAACAGAAAGGGCCTGAAGAATGGGGCATGTTGACAGTTAGTCCTATTTCCAAAAAGAGTATGTGGAAGCTGTGTAAAAGCCATTGTGGTATCAGTCTGGTAGTTGTGACATCGAAGGTGCTATCTGATCTTATCCCTCGAAGGCTAACTGAACACACGGAGAAGCAGATCCGTGAAAACTAAGCTGAGTTCCGTCATCATCATCAGAGACAGCAACATCAGTGTTGATACTAATGCTTCAATGCCATACAACCATAAACTTCACTTAATTACATTTAAAACTTCAAAGTGAAAAGAGAAAAGTGTGGTTGAGGGAGGAGACCTAGTGTTAGCCTTCGTTAAGCACTCTGAGATGCATACACCTCCAAGCGCCCAATCAGATAAACTGAAAACCAACTGACAGCACGAACGCCACTGACATTGATCAGCTGACATTTCTTGCAATGTCTTCGGCCAAGCACACACGGGGTCACAGGGACCTGGAATGCGTACAACACCAACGACACCCAAATCGTAATCTTTTTCATGCCCTTCTACCAAGTCATACGTTGTTCACCTCGCGGTTTGCGCCATCCCAAAGGAGGCGTGGAGAACAATACTCACCTTGGTAGACTGTTTTGGAATGCGTAGCACATGACCGAGCCACCTCAATTGATTGTGGTGGATGTTACCCCTGATTGAAGTACCAGCCGAACAACCAAATACCCGTTTTCCACTCAACTCATTACTAATCCAGTGACGCCATCCAAAACCAGCAATGCTTCTGAGGTATCCGTAGTAAAAAACCTGAGGACGCCTCATATCGTTTATCCGCAGAGGCCTCGTCTCGCACCCATACAACATCACAGCCCTCACTATAACCTGGTAGACGCAACACTTTTCACACTTTTGACGCCACAAGTGACACAAATTAGCAAACGTGATTCCAGCCTTTGAGATTCCTGCATTGACTTCATCAGACACACTTCCGTCAGAACTGAAACAACTACTGAGGTACGTAAAATTCTCCACAACCTCCTTGAATTGTGATGGAATGTCCATAAACTGTGCGTTCTGAAGCATGACTTTGCACTCTGAAGGTGCTACGCGCATGCCAAAAGATGATATGACGGTGGTCACTCTATCCAACAGGGCTGGTGCTTCACTTTGATTGCCATAGGTGAGAACAATGTCGTCTGCGTACTCCAGACCGACAAGGCTTTCAAAAGCGATAAATTCCCAAACCCTCCAGCGTTCGCCTTGACATTTCACCAAGAAACCAAGTTGAACAAGAATGAAGAGAGTGGACATCCTTGTCAGATTCCACTTGTGTAGTTTGGAGAGCCAGCATACATTCTTACACGCCCAGAAGTATGTGAATGTAGGAATCGAATTATGCTCACAAACATCTGGGGGATAACCTATTGAGCAAGTGTAGTTAAGAGCACCAACCGATCGACAGAATCGAACGCGCCCTTGACATCAAGATTGTGTCGTCAGTACATGTGGCGTGGCTCTAATACCCGGTGGAGTGTAAAAATGTGGTCAACGCACTTTCTACCCGATCGAAATTCCACTTGGTTCGTACGAGAAAAAGTTTCGCGTGCCACCATAAGAGGACAAAGAAGCAGTGACGCCAAAAGTCTTGTCACAACAGGAGTCAAACTAACACCTCTGTGGTTCCTGCATTCACTTCGAGTAAACTTTTGGGAAAGGATCACTATTGTCGATTCACGCCAGTTGTCTTGGATGGACTCCTTCTCCCAGATAGATCCATATGAGCTAGAGGGGCACTGGATGTGAAACTCGCCGCCATCCTTGATTTGAGCACGTGGAAAGTCGTCAGGACCAGCAGCACAATGACGTTTGAATAGAGATATATACTCGGACGCTTCTGAGCTTCAAGGCAGCTATATATTCACAGACCACTTTAGTGCTGAAGGTCTGTAGTGCGGAATTGAGGTAGCAGCTGGCCAAGTGAATGGTTATTCGAAGTACTGTGTTCACCGGTCCAAACATTCTGCTTTGCTGCATATTAGGGAGCCATTTTGGTCCCCGATAATTTCGCTGACAAGATGCTTCCGAGAGACAGTCGAACGAGTCAAGTGGAACAGCTGGCAGACGTTTCCAGCATTTTTGACACCTTCCATTTCTTCGGCCTTTCGGATCCACCAAGCGTCTAGGTCTGTACGAACGCTCAATTTTATCAGGTGTCGGATGATGCGTCGGGTGTAGTTGTAGTTAAGGCCAGAAGATATCTGTCGCCGGACTTCCATCAAAGACGGTCCTGTGAGAGACCCAATGTTAGGATAAAGTTGGCAGGGCTGTACCTTAAACATAAGTTCCGGATCTGAGTAGTGCCTTGGATACCTTTTCCCAGTGGCCGTTGAGACCCGACATCGGACCGTTCGGCAGGCGTTCGAAAAGCTAGATATGACAGTTTCGTTTAATTTATGGATCCGCTAGCTTCTTAATGGCTAAGCAAGGTGTGCGCATTTTGCGTAGACCTGAAAAGCGCAAAGGAGAGCAGCAACGTACAAGTACACGGTTGGCGTCCACGCTGGTGTTCTGGAAGGAACAGCAGGCGGTGATCGGCTATCGGCACCGAAACTGATGGTGATGTGGTCGATTTGGATTCGGGGCTGATTTGCTGGTGGGCATCGCGTGGCCAAGCGATTTCCGCTGTTCCGAAAACTGGCACTGCAAAGGAACAGTCCGTGATCGGCACACATCTGAATTAGGCGATCTCTGTTGTCCGAGCATCTCGTGTCCAATCAAAGATGACAACCCAATAGGGCTGCGACATGCTTAGTCTACCTATGTGGGCGTTCATGCCACCGGCAACCACAAATATATCTGAGCTTTTAGCTTCCGCAGATTCAGAGCTATAGTCAGTAGACACAGTCAACATAGTGAACCTCAGTTTCTATAGACTATTTCACAGATGTTGCCAAACGAACCTCGACCATCAATGGAACATCCAAACAAGTAGAGACGCCTCCGCTTGTTAGCTTAATAAAATACCCATCCCCGCATATCCAGATGCACCGGCCTCTGCATCAGAATAGGTGCACAGCTGTCACCTAGAAGGGAGCGAGGGAGCAGGCAGCCCAATCACAGTACTTGCGTCCTACATCCTTGTTTCTGACAGACAGCATACATAAATGCAGAGGAAATTCGGTGTGCGAGCAAAAGCTACCTGTTATTCTGCTCGCTTCAGTGTGCGAAAATCGAAGGTAGCTAAGTAGACGGGCTTTCGGGGTTTCCAAACGGACTTCGAAGAGTTGTTACCACAGCCGGACGTCACAACCTGCAGATGAATTTGATACACGGCGAGGAAAATGGTTAGTCCTAGTGCTGGGACTTGCGGAGAGAGTGACAAAATTTCGGTGGGGCAGGGAAGAAGAGGGAAAAAAATGAAAGTGTAAGAGACGGTTCGGCAATACCATGTGTTCACCTAACCACCCCCCTGTATGCAGCAGGTGAGCCTACTCGGCTGACGATATGCGACAGCCGATGCTGCACGGGAGTATTGTTAGCTGTAAGTTTCATGCATGTATGTCGGCTGGGATATTGCCAGGGCAATCAGACATGGACAGCACGCGGTTAGGGTCCTCAAATAAAGCTTGACCAAAAATGCGGCGGCGTTTGGCGGGAGGTGCAAGTGCATTATCATTTTTATAGAACAAGTTGCCACACATGTTCAAACCCCCAACCTGGAAAGCCAGAGGACTATGTTCGTCAGGCCTCTAACCATTGACTAACCTAGTATGGGACTCTGTGAGTGTCGTACATATTTCCGCAGATCAGAGCTATAGTCAGTAGACACAGTCAACATAGTGAACCTCAGTTTCTATAGACTATTTCACAGATGTTGCCAAACGAACCTCGACCATCAATGGAACATCCAAACAAGTAGAGACGCCTCCGCTTGTTAGCTTAATAAAATACCCATCCCCGCATATCCAGATGCACCGGCCTCTGCATCAGAATAGGTGCACAGCTGTCACCTAGAAGGGAGCGAGGGAGCAGGCAGCCCAATCACAGTACTTGCGTCCTACATCCTTGTTTCTGACAGACAGCATACATAAATGCAGAGGAAATTCGGTGTGCGAGCAAAAGCTACCTGTTATTCTGCTCGCTTCAGTGTGCGAAAATCGAAGGTAGCTAAGTAGACGGGCTTTCGGGGTTTCAAAACGGACTTCAAAGAGTTGTTACCACAGTCGGACGTCACAACCTGCAGATGAATTTGATACACCGCGAGGAAAATGGTTAGTCCTAGTGCTTGGACTTGTGGAGAGAGTGATAAAATTTCGGTGGGGCAGGGAAGAAGAGGGAAAAAATGAAAGTGTAAGAGATGGTTCGGCAACACCATGTGTTCACCTAACCATCCCCTTGTATGCAGCAGGTGAGCCTACTCGGCTGACGAAATGCGACAGCCGATGCTGCACGGGAGTATTGTTAGCTGTAAGTTTCATGCATGTATGTCGGCTGGGATATTGCCAGGGCAATCAGACATGGACAGCACGCGGTTAGGGTCCTCAAATAAAGCTTGACCAAAAATGCGGCGGCGTTTGGCGGGAGGTGCAAGTGCATTATCATTTTTATAGAACAAGTTGCCACACATGTTCAAACCCCCAACCTGGAAAGCCAGAGGACTATGTTCGTCAGGCCTCTAACCATTGACTAACCTAGTATGGGACTCTGTGAGTGTCGTACATATACCACGCAGTATAGGTCAACGGGTCAGGGGCACGAAGAACCGTCACACCACAGCAAGGTTCAGTATCTTCGT